GCTGGGAGGAAGACGGAGTTTTGCTTCATCCAGGATAATGAGGTCGTAAAATGAATAACCTTCGGCGAAAATTCCCCCCGGGCGACGAAATAATTATCTGCTCGCATATTTTTGGATTGTATTGATCACACATTGCTTTTCGCTCAAACCCCTCTGAAAATTATTAAATCGAACGTTTTATGTTGAAATGGAATACATTTTTATAATCTGGAACAATAGATAATTGTTTTGTTATTCGTTGATCTAATTTGAGGAAAATAGATATGAACAAAAATTAGACTCATATCAAAATTTCCAATACATTTAAAACGACAAAATATTAAAAACATTTGCTGAAAAAAATTTTCAACTATTATGACTTTCCATGACCGTATAATGTACAGTAGTTAAAATTAAATTTATTGACAAATTCGAAATTTTTTTAAAAGGACGATGTATGAAGCTGCATTGTTGTATACATGATGTAAATGATCTCGTGAAGCATTAATAGCGATGAAAATTAATTTGACTGAGCTTCAATTCAGCTTTTAGAAACTTTCTTATATCTTTAAAATCGGTCCGAAATTGTGTATATGCAATTTTCTTAATTCTACTTGAGAAATCTAAAACGTGTCCTCATTCGACGTTTGGATTAATTATCCTTTCAATTCTCCTCGACAAGTGTTTGGTGAATAAATTAAACTCACCTGTCCGTTGGGTTGCTTGCAAGAAACGACGCCACAGGGTTCGAGCTGAGAGATTTGCAATTTATACAATTGCGGGTTTATTGGCAATGGACGCAATTTGCAGTGAGGGTGTGAACCCGGGTCGACATCCTCAGAAACGTCCTCAAAAACGGGTCCTTCCGAAAAACCGGCCGGAAGCTTCAAGGTCGCCGAAAACACTTCATTCCTCGGCATATTCATGCACCTAATGTCTTGGAAGAGAAAAAAAATAATAAGCAAAAAAATCAGTGAATTCTTCAAATTTGAATTCAAAACTAAGAAGAGCAGGGAAAATCAAACATCACTGCCAAATTCATTCCCCGTTTTCGCTGGTGCTCCAGTCTTTCGAATCATGATTTTGTCAAACATTCTTCGGAAAGAACAGAAAAAAAAATCAGCAATTAAGACCAGAAAGAGTCGATCTTTCATCTCAAAAAGGTAAGGTGTGGTCGGCATTTTCCCACGAAGAAATGTTCGGAAATTGTTTTCGTCCTACTGTTCGATGGGGCTTAAATCCGGGAAAATACCTTACATTAGTGACACAAAAAATGGCAGGAAAAGCCCCGTGCAAAATTCGGCATCAGATTTGCCATTTGAAGAAGTAGGAAGGAATGTTGATGTACTTCCTAAGATATGAAATCAACGAACATCGCTCCATTCGTTCTTCTCAGCAACTTTTCTTAGAGTTAAAGCAGTGACAGAGTTTCTTCAACGAAAAAAATAATGAAAATTATAAATTATGGAATTGATTATTCTTGGGCTTGTGAAAACGTGCTGCTGTCAGCACCCAGGAAAATTTGATGGATGAAAACATTTGCGAATGAAAATCCTTTCAATCGCTAATAAATCACGGAATATTCTTCGGGCAAAATTCAATCTATATTTTTATTTGATTGAATGGCAGCCATAAATCCAACTCATTTTTTTCTCAGGGATTAAACGCTTTTAAGAAACCACAACGGCGATATTATCGACTCAAAATCATTCGGAAACGTTTTCTAGTTTATTTATTTGAATCATTCAATGCAAATGAAGGAATGGCAAGTAAACATTGAAATTCTCTCCGTTATGTTGCGCTACATTTGCAGCTTTTATCTGCTCTCTACTTAATCTTTGGTGCGCAAAAAAAAAACATTGCTGGTCGGAAAAATATGCAACATCTACGTTGTGAAATTTACAATCTTTTCCATTAGCTTATGTAACACGATTTCAGCGAGGGAATTCCCATGTTTAACATTTTACGGTGCTGGTAAGAAGAATGTACGAAGAAAATATGCTCACCACCAACAATGCCATTTGCGTTGCCATTCAGACGAGTGCCAATATCCGGAGTGGGTGAAAAATTCCTTTGCCGCCCCTGCCTCTGCAACAAATGCCGTGGTATGGGGCAAAACAATCAAGGGTCATCCTAAAATTCCAAACTCTACACAAAGTTTCACACTGTCAACAAAAAAATCATTTCTGCACTTATTCCGTCTCCAGTAATGCAAATTGAATAGAAGTAGCTACAGTATAAGGCTTGATCGATGATGAGACTGTGCTCTAACTATTTGCCAAACTTCGAGCGATGAATTTAATGCATTTCAGCTAGTGTTTTTCTTTTTTTTTTACTTTAAAAGGGGCGTTCATAAATATCTTGAATATTCTGGATTATTGCGTTCACTCTATATTCACTGCTTCACTCTAAATATTTCCCTCTTATGAACTGAATAAAATGCATGATATGCGCATTCAATTGTGTAATTTCGAAACTGTTGTGGAAAATATAAAAATGTGATTGATTTCAAATAGTTTCCATGATTTTAGAAGCACAAAAAGAATTGCAGAGCTATAACTGAGCTTTTCTCCTCCAGTCCTCTGGAAATTAACACAAAAGTTCCTATTCGTTCAATTGAAAAATGAAAGCACTTTTCGCCACCAAAATGTGCAACAAAAATACATTGATTAAAATACAAATAAGGGGATAATAAAAAGTAGATCAATCCTCAAGTTACGATTTCTGGTACAAACTTGAAGTTGATTCCGGACAGCATGCTAAACAACATGAATGTTTAATATTGAATATTTGCAGCTTAATCTCTTCAAACTGTTCAGGGGATGTCGCAGAAAAAAAATATTTTAAAATTTTAAACGACCAATGCGGTATTTTGCTATTTTTCCCCTCAGCCGCTTTTCTTGGAATGCTGACGCGAAACGAAATCCGCGTTTTCTATATGTCATAACTTAATTGACGCAAAAATTGCGACATTAAAAATATGCTGGACGAATTTTCGGTAAGTTCGCATAAAGTTTCGGTAAGTTGTTTCAGGAAATTTATTGACCGAAAATTGAGTAGGTGAGAATCGGTGGCAATCACTCACCGCCGAAGAAAGCTGTTTCTCTGAAGCCGAAGTCTGTGGCTCCTTAGAAACGGACTTGAAGTTCTCAAAGGCTTCGCCGACGCCCGATGCTGTCGGAAACTTTTCCTTTCCGGGGTTCAAGGGGTTCTTGGAGGACGAGGGGTCCTTGACGG